GCTGATGGGAGCTGGAGTTCAACCGCATCTGGAAGACCACTGAGTCCACATCCATGTGCTAATTAGCCTTGCCTACACCAGGAACAGCTAGCCTGTAGCTCTCCAGATGTTCTTGGACCCCAGCTCACATCAGCCCTAGCCAGCATGGTCAAAGTTTAAGAAAGATGGGAAATGTAATCCAGCAACATCTGGAGGGCACCACATTGGGCCCTCCTGGTCCACACTGACTGGCAGTTGCTCTCCATTGTTTCAGACAAGAGCCTTTTTAAGGTGTCCCTACAGTGGTGTGTGGTGATTTTTTTTTTTTTGTAGGGGAACAGTTAGGGGCAGAATCACCAGTTTGTGTGGGCGATTGGTGGGGACATTGTGACATCACACAGGTGAGTATCACATCTTCCTCCCTAAGCTGGACAGAAGCTTCCCAGGCTTCTAATTTACTAGGAACATTTAAGGGACTAGCCTAGTCCCCCTAGTGCACTGACAACAATCCAATGGTCCCTAGAAATACCAAGAATGAAATATCAGCTCTTTTTCATGCAAAGCATGTGCTCTACTATTGAACTACAGATGCTGCCCACTACTGAGAAGATGACTTTTCCTTGTGCCCTGGCTGTGCCTGTATATCCGTGGTTTGAGGAAGGGATTTTCTCTTGAGTCACATAATGCTAAACTACCCCTGCCTCCTTTTGACTTCCTTTACAGATTGTGGGTTGAATTATTTTCTTAATCACCTAGATTTATTTGAACTTAGGTGTCATGGACATTTTGGTGTCTCTCTTGATGACATCAGGGGAGTAATACTTATTATATGTTCTGATCTTACACAGTAGTCTTCTGTCCAATTTGCTGATGATGTCTGCACCTGCTTAGCTTTAGCAGAGCCATTCTCAGACCATTTGGCCCTGACTTTAGCAGAGCCATTCTCAGACCATTTGGCCCTGACTTTGGACTTCTTTGCCCTGCTTTCTATGCACAGCAACATGGAAGGTATATCACAAATGGATTTCTTTGGGGGTGGAAAGAGAAACATTATACCAAGGACTTTATATGTTATAATGACACAGATTTGTAAACCAAGTATATCTCTTTGTGTAGTCTGACACCCTCATTGCTTCAGAAGAACAGAAATAGTTTTACAGTTCGTGCTGCTTCCCCGAAGTCTTTCTAATCTCCTTTTGAGATAGAGGCATGTGTGTGCGTGTGCACAGTTGAAATGTCAGTGATTTTCAAGAGTAACCAGAATGATGATAGGCTTGTGTGGGCTGAAGCTAAACGTTTCTATGAGCAGTGTATTTCTCTCTGTTAAGTGAGTACAGCTAAGAGCCAGCTCCTGCATATGACTGTGCACAGATTTATAGTTTGATCCTGTAGCTTCAGCTTGCAAAAGGAAATGGTTTTAACAAAAGAGACAACTGGAAGCAGTCAAGAATTGCTTCTCAGATGTAATTGCACCTCATGTTTTAATGCTGCCCACCTACAGACATTTTTGATCCAGGTACCTGCCACCCCAAGTTTTCTTGAGTGAATGAATGTATTTTAGGAACATAAAAAACAACCCTATACTGCATCATACTATATGCCTACTGCGCCCAGTGTTGTCTACTCTGACCGCAACATGTTTCTAGTGTTATAATTATGGTTCTTTTACCTGCAAGTCAGTGGAGGCTTGTGCAATAGAGTGAATGGGGCTTCGTTTGCCCTCAGACAGCCCCATATCAGTCTGCCTTCTTACTTACAGACAGTCCAGGAAGCTTTCCTGCCTGCCAGCTTCCTCCTTCTCAGTCTCAATGTTACCCCCGTTGGACTCAGCAGGGAGGAGGATAGGGACAAAGCTGGAATTAATTGGTCCTTTAAACAGCCAGGAATCGAGCCTGGGACTTTTTGAGCGCTGCAAAATTGAGCTGAGGGCTAGGGCTGGGCAAAATGTTGACAAATCACCCAAAACCAGTTTGAAGTCCACAACAACAACATCAACAACAATAATTATTAGAATTTATATACTGCCATATACCCGGAGGTTTCAGGGCAGTTCATAGATATCGGTTTCTTTATATTGGTTTCATAATTTTAGACCTGGCAATAATGTGAATCATAATGTGTTTGTGTATGTGTGCTGTGCAAAAATCACAATGTGGGGGAAATTGTGCTTCTCTTGATTCCTGTGGCCCCTTTTAATTCTGCCGGCTCTGCTCTCCCCTGTCTCATGCAGGGGGCAGTGAATCACAAAAGTAGGTGTCAGCAAAAATCACAGGAAAAACAGATGCAGGAAAAACCATGAAGCCAGCCAATACCTTTATATAGCTCCATCCTTATTTGAGATATAGTGATATATCAGTATATCATGACGTTTAGCTGGTGATATATCATGATGCTGAAAAACAGATATTGCCCAGCCCTGCTGCTCACCTCTACATATGGTAGTTCCATCCTTAGTTCAGACATCGTGATATATCGATACATCACAATGTTTAGCTGGTGATATATTGTGATGTTGAAAACCAGATATCACCCAGCCCTACTGGGGGCATTCTACCATTTCAAGGAGGTCATTAGCAGTGAGAACAGGCAGGTTTAGCAAGGTTGTCTCCTAAAAGTAATAAACACAGCCAGCGATGGGAATGAAATGGTCCTGAGCTTCGGGTATTCCTCTTCTTTGTTGCTGGCAGAAAGACTTATTGTTGCTTATGCCACACACTTGGTGTTCGTATTTTTCTGTTGTTTGTTATGAAGATTTCTGGGTCTGTTTGCTTGAGTTATGGAAACAGACAGGCTTTGGAACAGCTGTGTTGGTAATAATAATAGTGGCTTGGCTAAGCTGGGAACAGTCTGTTTCTTTCACTTGCTCACTGGGTGGCTGTAATTTCTGCAGTATCTCACTCACTTTATTTTCTCTGTAACATTCATATGCTTTATAGGTCTGCCTTTTCCCTGTGGATTGTTCACTTCCAGGTCTTTGCAGCTTTGTCCCCTTTTCCACCCTGCAAATCAGACCAAGAATTCTGAAAAGTCACAATGATCCAGTGTAATAAGCTGTTACATGTTGTGCAAATGTGGCTCCTCACTGTAAACGAGTGTGAAACCCATGTGTTCTTGTGGTGTCTGCTCGATATTCACAGGCATTCTTCCATGTACTCATCAGGTTTTGCCTCATGTGTCCTTCAGAAGGTTCCCTCAGGATTTTTGCATTTCATTGTAGATTGACAGCTTCTCTGAAACAGTTGTGAACCTTTCTTTAACAATTCTCACATTTTCCTTACCTCCCCTTTTGTGAGTCTTTATTCTGCAGCCGTGGTGTGCCACCCACCCCCTGGGGGGGTGGGGTTGGTCAGAAATTGAAGTCTCAGCATTAAAACCAAATACTGGAATTTCTGAGGTGCTGCACACTATGGGTCATTTCAGACATTCCTCTTTTATACATAATGTATGTGGGGCACAAACATGTCTTTGCAATTGACTGCAATTGAAATTGACTGCATATTTTGAAGACTTATTTATTTATTTATCCGATGAAAAGTCGGAGGAAGAGTGCCAGACAGGCCACAATATATCCACCACCCCTCCCCCCGAAGTGAGCCCAAGCGCTGCTCATTGGTCAGTTGGATCTGCTTCCAGAGGAATGCCCGTTCCAAGCCTACTGGCACTGGCCAATTGCCAGCAGCTGGGCGATCTGGCCTGCCATCGGCTGGATCGCTGGCGTGGCCTATAGCCTGGCTGCAGCACCGCCCACCATAGAAGGTGAGTGGATTTGCATGCCAAGACCCCATGACCCTGCAGTTCCCTGGGAAGTGAATGACCAGAAAGGACAATGAGATATTGATTTATGAATTCAACTAGGTCATAACTTTATTGGTTACAGAAAAGAATGGTTTGACATAGGCATTGGGTAAAGCCCGTCTGCTGGAAGTGCATCTGAGAGTAAATCACATCTTTTTTTGGGGGGTGCACTCTATATGATCTACATCAAATAGGGATACCCCCCATAGCCCCCACTGGAGATGTGCTATGGCCCTAGCACCCACCTGGGTGTTGGATAGAAGCCACCCAAGATCCTTTTAACAGGATACCCTTTACCCAGGAGGGGCAGGCAGAGGCTACAACCTTCTCTCGGGCCAAGACCTATGCTTACCCAATGCCTAACCGCCAATTGAGCTGAAACGGCTTGCCACAAAGCCCTTCATGCCTGCAACCAACACTTGATGCCCCTCCACTATGTCACTTAGTCAGATTTCGTTGCCCGCTTCGGACATGTGTACTCCATCAAACCAATACAAGGCCTCCTGGTCGAATGTGATGCTAGGGTGCTGTATCACCCATTCTCCCAGGCACTCCACTTTCATGCTACATGCTAAGGCTGGCCTTCTTCCTGCCCTGGTTGATGCCTGCTGGGTCTGGACTGTTGTGCCAGTGCTGCTTTTCAACAAACAATGATTATATGTGGCTATAAATCCAGGAGTCTCTCAAAGTTCTCTATTATATTCCAAGTGAGCTTGATGCCTTTTCACTGAGCTGGATGACAACGGTGTCGGGAGGGCCAAACTCAGCAACGTTTGATATCACCGTGGTCATGAATTCGTGTTACAGTGGTGCCTCGCAAGACGAAATTAATTCGTTCCGCAAGTTTTGTCGTCTTGCGATTTTTTTCGTCTTGCGGTGTTGGGAAAGTTTTGGAAAAGCTTCAAAAATCACCAAAGTCTTTAAAAACCTCAAAAAAGGCTACCACACCGCGTTCTATGAGTTGCTCCTCGAAGTCAAGTCGCAACTGTATTAACGGTGTTAAGAAAAAGGAAACAAACTTGCAAGACGTTTCCGTCTTGCGAAGCAAGCCCATAGGGAAAATCGTCTTTCGAAGCAGCTCAAAAAACAAAAAACCCTTTCGTCTAGTGCGTTTTTTGTCTTGGGAGGCATTCGTCTTGCGAGGTACGACTGTATTTCATTCTGCGCCTAGTTACCCAAGAAATATGGATGTCAGATGGAAACCCAAGGTTGTTCTCTCGATCTTTGTCTGTGGTGTGGGTAGCTCAGTTGGTTAGAGCGTGGTGCTGATAATGCCAAGGTTGCAGGTTCGATCCCCGTATGGGACAGCTGCTCATTCCTGCATTGCAGGGGGTTGACCTAGTTGATCCTCAGGGTCCCTTCCAACTCTGAAATTCTATGGTACTATGAAGACCAGTAACCTCCAGTTGCTATTGAGCTCCCACCAGCCCCGGCCAAGTTAGGAACAGTTAGGAATTGTTATCAAACAATCCCTGAAATTTCCTAGCTTCCCCATCCCTCACTCAAAATGTTAACCACTCTGCACCAGAAGATTCTAGGGTGATGTACAAAAGTGTGAATAAACAACGAATGCATTTAAATAATAACCATAAGCAAACTTTTTATTGAGTATGTGCTCCACTGAGCCTGCATTTCCTGGGGGCTTCCCACTGTGTCTGTGGAGTGCCAAATGTTGTGTTTATTGCTGTGTGACATGCAGTTTGCTAAATAAATATATTGATTCATATTCTCATCTCCTGCAGCCCTACCTCCATAACCTGAGGTATGTTAGGCTGGGAAATGAAACTGTGGAACTGTTGTGCTGGCGTGTAGAGAGGTTGTCTTTCCCCTTCGCTGATAATCTTTGGCATGATATTTTGACAAGCATTTGTTTTTTTAATGGGCTTTTTTATGATCGCTTTGTTTTTCATATTGTGCTGTAAGTTGCATTGAGTATTATTATTATTATTTTTACTAACGCAGAGAAGTGGGATATAAACTATTTCAATAAATGAGTAAGAGGGAAGCAGGGAAGGGAAATAATTTGAAATCTCATTTTTGTGGTAGCCAGCAACTGGATTGCTTCTGTTTCTTAACTCAAACATGGGTCAGATTCAGAAATAGCCTGAGTGCCAAGAGGCCCTTTAGGTTGTGCTGAAAAACTAGAGGGAGGCACCAGTGTGGGTTGTTCCATTAGGGTGAATGATGCCTTGCCCCATCAACCTCCGTCTACCCTCAGCCAGCCCACACCTACCTCTCTTCTTACTTAAACCAGTCCAGGGAATGGCTCTGCCAGTCATTGGCTCTTGCTCCACCTACTGCTGGTCTCCCTGCTTTCCACCCAAATAGTCCCAATGGGTCCCTAGAGAATACTGGTTCCACAGATTTGCCTTTGATGGTACATTCAAACTTGCTGCCAGTAAAACCTATTTCCCACAATTCATTGCTCTCTGTGTGTGCGCGCACGCACACATTCTTGTGGTGTAACAATACAGACAGAAGAAGGTGATCCAGTGTACAGTTGTAACACTACTTACGTATCCCTCTGGATATGGAATCTTTGGGTTACGGCAACGGCAAAGCCAGAAGTGTACACTTCCGGGTTTCGCCGCATGCGCAGAAGCACTCAATCGCGCTGTGTGCATGTGCAGAAGCATACCTCTATTTGCGCTATTTTCGGGGTGCAAACAGACCCCCGGAATGAATTAAGTTCATATCCAGAGGGTCCACTGTAGTGACCTAAAGTTGTCATTACAACACAGACTGTTTTCCGCTTTTGAAGATATGGAACTGCTATTGCAACTCTGTAGCTACTGAAGGTATCTTTACAGCATGGGTATTTATTTTAAGGGTTATGCAAAATTGGCTCCGCTTTCTTTTAATGTTACGCTGAGTATATTTTGGTCTGGGATTAAATTGTGTGAGTTTAGTGGGAGAGAAGAGGACCTCTTATTGAGGGAGTTTCATTTTTTAATCATTGTATTCTGGACAGTGCAGCTGTGATGATTTACAAGATCATTCTGTATGGGGCTTCTGCTTGTCCTGCCCAGGTCATGTGATGCATGTGACAAATGTGGAATATTAAATTATTCATCCCCCCCACAAGCCGCTGCTTTGCATTCAACATCTAAGCTGTTCAATAGGAAATGTACAGAAATATCTTGCTTGAAGTTATACAGTACTGCATTAACCAAACTAAACTTTTGTTGTACCTGGACCATTTGCTTCAGGTTTAGAGGCTGTGGTACCTTGTTTTTTGTTGACATGTTGCTTGTGCAATTCACATTGTCACCTTCTGCTAGGTCAGAAAACCTCCTGCAGCCATTTCCTCCTTTGTGGCTGGATGCAGAGGGGAACTTCCAAGGGAAGAAGGCTCAGAGCCATGGGATTGGTAGTGGGAAGACAATGAGATGTCAGAGGGAGAAGAGGGAACGTACTGGGAGGAAGAGGTGTCAAAGGTTGAAGAGGCAACAGGGTTTAGTGAGCAGGAAGAGGCTGCGTCAGAGAGCAGTCCAGAATCAGAGGCAGAAGCAGTGTGTATGTATGTGTGTCAAGAGGCAGAGTGACGACAGGCTGCTGAAGAATCCAGGGAGTTTCCCCACTGCTGCGACCAGCTTTCCTTCCCCCTAGTCTCCTAGAACATGGAGAGGAATGAGGACAGAGCCATGAGAGATAAAACAAAGGAGCTTTAGGCTTCTAGGGAAGTAACCGGGGCAGGAGTCTTAGAGAGTGGTCGAAGGTTGGGACCTTCAGTCCTCACAACTGCCACATTGGGGCAAGACATACCGGGAATAGTTGCCATGATCACTAGGCTTGAGTTGTTTTGGTTTCTTTGAATAAATAGTTAACTTCATGGACACCAGGTGTTTTATTGTCAGGACCTGCTCCTAACTTTATCTCACCAGTTGCATGAAGTGTAATCCTGAGTTGCATATCCTTTGACAGACCCAGTTGCCCCAAGTTTATTTTGCAAGCACTATTACAGGACCTAATGTAATCCACAACATCAGGGATTCATTTCCTACGTGATATATTTTATCATCTTCCAGCATTTTTTTGCATTTTACAAAGAAGCCAGTCTCTATGTCAGGGGTGGAGAATTTTTTCCCCCAGCCTGAGAGAGTCCCATTCCCTTGTGGGAAACCTCCTGAGGGCAGCAGCATGCTAGTGGTGGGTGGGATGAGAGATAAAAGTGGATGGAGCTGTGGATGCATGTCTTAACTTTGTACAACTGTATTCCTTCAGTGACAAAAACCAGAGGTTTATATATGCCACAGCCCTATGTATCTCTCAGTCTTCCATCCAGATAAGCAAAGAGGCATTGTCACAGTTCAATGATGTTTGTCCACCAGGCACAAGCACTCAAGAAGGATGCAGGGCTTGTGTGTGTTTGTGCATTCTTGTTAGAAGGGGGCATGACCTGGAAAGAGGGACGGTTAGGCAGGCCCTGAGGTTCTCCACCCATGCCTTTCTAATCCTTAAGTCCTAACTGTCTCTGCTGGTGCACAAACTGCCTTTTTGGAATTAGTTGCCATAAGATATAATGATGGATACCAACCTGGATGGCTGAAAGACCTTATGGATAAAACTGTCTGTGGCTGCTTGTCATAATTATGTGCTGTTTCCAGTAAGTGACAATATACCTCTGAATGCCAGTTGCTAGGGAATGTTGTTCTCATGTCCTGCTTCTTCACTTACCACTGAACCATCTGACCAGCCATTGTAAGAACAGGATGCTTGAATAAATGGGCCTTTGGTTTGATCAATCAAGGCTCTTTCTACCATCTTATGATTGTTTGCTGGCTGAATGAAGGGAAGAAGAGTTTGGATTTGATATCCCGCTTTATCACTACCCGGAGGAGTCTCAAAGCGGCTAACATTCTCCTTTCCCTTCCTCCCCCACAACAAACACTCTGTGAGGTGAGTGGGGCTGAGAGACTTCAGAGAAGTGTGACTGGCCCAAGGTCACCCAGCAGCTGCATGTGGAGGAGCGGGGAATTGAATGTGGTTCACCAGATTACGAGTCCACCACTCTTAACCACTACACCACACCTGAAATGGGTTAACTCCTACTAACCTAGAATCATGCTTTAGTTCAGGGTGTGAGGAACATTTGGCTCTCAGACGCTGCAGAACTATAAATCCCATCATCCCTTGCCATTGGCCATGCTTGCTGGGGATGGCAGGTGTTGTTAAGCAACATCTGGAGGACCAAAGGTTCCACATGCTTGCTCTAGTTGCATTAAAAAAAAAATCGAGCATGCTTGATTATATCTAGCTTTCTTGAATACCCCCCCCCCCCGCATTTCCTGACAAATTCCATAGTCCTAAAGTTGGGTGAATGAGCAAGCACAAATCATTAGGATAAATAAGTTAATACGGCTGGCCCTACCATTAGGTAGAATGAGATGGCTGCCTCAAGCAGCATATGCTGGGGGCATTTTAAAAGACAGAGAGGATGTTGGAGGATAAATTTGGGTGTCACACAGCCTATTCTGTATCCCCTAGGCTACCTGCTACCCTCAACTGTGGTGGGGGACACTTTCCTGTCACCAGTGTTGAAATATGATTCAGCTGTCACTGGGTTGACCTCTGTATAATTTAAGTGTGTGAGGTGCCATCTTATCTGCCTCAGGCAGAAAAATGTCTCAGGCCAACTCTGGAACTCAAGGCTCATTAAGGTAGAGTGGGAGACTTGATAAGCACCTGTCTTGAGTTGGCTGTAGCAAAAAAGGATTGTGTAGAAGGCGGTGGTCATTATTTACCTCAAAAGATATTTCAGCTAAACCACAGTCATGGGGTCCCACAGAAGTGCCTCATCAGAGAATTTCCATCATTGAGGTTGAGCACAGGGACTCAGATGGTCCCTAAGGTACTTTGCACTCAAGTTGTTTAGGGATTTTGTGAATTACCACAAATGTCTTGAACCTGGTCCTGTTGCAAATCAGCAGCCAGTGGAGTTCTCTCGGCAGTGAAGTATCATGTTGTTAGGAATCTGCTCCTGTGAGCAGCCTGGCTGCTGCATTTTGCACTAGTTGAAGCTTCTGGACCAGATACGAGGGCAGCCCCACATAAAGCATGTTACAGTAATCCAGCCTTGAAGTTAATGAACTACTGTGGTCAGGGTGTTGTGGTCCACGAACCATTGCAGCTGGTGCACCAACTGGAGCTGGTAAAAATTAATATTGTTTAGAAGTCACTTGGACCGCTAGTGACAAAGACTGATCAAGGAAAACCCCCAACTACCTACCTGCTCCTTTAGAGAGAGTGCAACCTAGTCCAGAACAGGCAGGTGAGATTTCTCCCAGACTTGGGATTCCTCACCCAAAGCCTTTGTATCTCAAGGATTCAAGCTTAGTTTATTGACCCTCATTCAGTCCACCTCTGTATCCAGGCACCAGTCCAGGGCTTGCACAGCCTTTCATGACTCAAATGTAGTGGAGATATAGAGCAGAATATTATCAGCGTACGGATGACACCTTGCTCAAAACTCATTATGACTACATCCAATGGCTTCATACAGATGTTAAGTAGCATGGGGTGGGCACTGTACTGGCTCTAAGGGAGAGCACATGCTTTTATTGCAAAATGTCTCAGATTCAATCCCCAGCCTCTCCAGGTAGGGTTGGTATAGTCTCCCCTTTGATGACCTGGAGAACTATTACCAATTAGTGTTGGCAGTACTGTACTAGATGGCTCAGTGGCCCAATTCCATAAAACTGCCTTCCTGTTGCAAATTCTTACACTGTCAATAGTTATTTGCTCATTGTAGAGCTCAAGAGTCTGAGTTCAAACCATTAACCTGTGGTGAGACGTTATACATTCGTAGACGGCATTTCCTTGCAGGTTGTCATGATCGGAACAATGTGACAGGAGGGAGAGAGCACCCTGAGCCTTGCTTGTATTTCATGCACAGTTCAGCAGCCCTATTGTTTGTTTTGAAAGGCGCCGTCTTGGTGAAGGCTAGCCTGTGTTGGTTAATTTCATGCCTGCTGTGCTGAGATCAATGGCTTCTTTCTTTCCACAGCCCAGTTAAAGGTTCTTGAATTACTAATACTAACCACAATCTGCCCAATTTAAAAAACAAAACAAAACATCGTGTGTGTGTGTGTGTTTTGCCTCTTGCTAGGTAAATGTTATATGCTGTTTACAGTTATCCTCCCCCTGTTCATCTCCCTCCCCACCCCCATTCTGCTTTCATTTCCCAGCGTTGATTTTATTAATGGCTGGTTTTGAATTTGTTCTTGGAATGATTGAGGCGGCAGCAGAGACTTACCGGTAAGTGTTTGGAAATGAGCAGTTATCCATGTCCATTCTTGGCAGAGGCAATAGAATTTTTAGTCTCCAAAATTTCCTTTTCACCTACTGTGAATTGAAGTCAGTACAGTGGTACCTCGGGTTACGTACTTACCATATTTTTTGCTCTATAAGACTCACTTTTTCTCTCCTAAAAAGTTAGGGGAAATGTGTGTGCATCTTATGGAGCGAATGCAGGCTGTGCAGCTATCCCAGAAGCCAGAACAGCAAGAGGGATTGCTGCTTTCACTGCGCAGTGATCTCTCTTGCTGTTCTGGCTTCTGAGATTCAGAATATTTTTTTCTTGTTTTCCTCCTCCAAAAACTAGGTGCATCTTGTGGTCTGGTGCGTCTTATAGAGCAAAAAATATGGTAATTCTTTCCGGAGGTCCGTTCTTAACCTGAAACTGTTCTTAACCTGAAGCACCGCTTTAGCTAATGGGGCCTCCCGCTGCTGCCGCGCTGCCAGAGCACGATTTCTGTTCTCATCCTGAAGCAAAGTTCTTAACCCGAGGTACTATTTCTGGGTTAGCGGAGTCTGTAACCTGAAGCGTCTGTAACCAAAGGTACCACTGTACTCAAACTGGAGGAAGGCTCCACCCTCTTTATTATTATTATTATTTTAGGTGGGAAAATTGTGCTCCCAAGAATAGGAATAAGGTTGTGGGTGGCAAGACATGATTTTGCTTCATGTGTTCCTTCTGTAAATAAGTCATGCTGTTTCTCCCTTTACAATGTTGCAGAAATATGCCCCTTCTTATTCACCCACCCCCTTTACTGGCAGAAACTCTGGCCCATGCCCTAACCATACAGTGGAACCGCTACTTACAACCATAAACCATTCTGGGGGTCCGGTCATAACTAGAAACGTACATAAGTAGAGGTGCTCTTTCCCATAGAAAGTAATGAAAGAGTGAATTGATCCATTCTAGATGATGAAAAACACCCCCTAAAAGAGCAATTTAACACAGATTTTACTGTCTAACGAGACTATAGATCCACAAAATAAAGGCAATAATCAATGTACTGTACTATAAAATAAATAAGACAGTATTGTAGATGAAAAAAAATAACATTTTTTTTCTTACGTGCACTGAGGGTGGGTGGGCTTACCTGGCTACAAGCTGGGGGTGGGGCAAGGGTCAGTAAAGAGCTGATTCACTTCATCCAGGGTCTCTTTTTTTTCTTGCCAAGCCAGGTTCTTCTCTGGACTTCCTCAGGTTAGTTCCTCGGCGGGGTTTGGGGCTACAGTGTGCCCTGCTGTGCCTCTTGCAGGTGGCACCTCTTCCACAGCTTCGGGGGTGGGATGGGAGCCCTCTCCCCGGGGGTGGAGGCTCCAGAGCTGCCCTGCAGCCGGCCAGGCGAGCTCCAGGCTGCTGGTAAGGCCTCTGTTCATATCTAGAGGAAAGTTCATAAGTTGAAGCACCTACTGAAGGCCGTAACTGGAATCGTACGTAAGTAGAGCTGTACGTAAGTCGAGGTTCCACTGTATAGTGGTACCTCGGGTTAAGAACTTAATTTGTTCTGGAGGTCCGTTCTTAACCTGAAACTGTTCTTAACCCGAGGTACCACGTCAGCTAGTGGGGCCTCCCACTGCTGCCATAACCGCCACACAATTTCTGTTCTCATCCTGAAGCAAAGTTCTTAACCTGAGGTAGTGTTTCTGGTTTAATGGAGTCTGTAACCTGAAGCGTCTGTAACCCGAGGTACCACTGTATCTTGCTTTGACTTCTGCATCATGCTGTTCTCTGTCCCATCCCCCCACCCCCGGTCCCTTTGCCTCTATCCGGAGCTGTGTTGCCAAAACAGTATGTTTCTTGCCACTTCATGAAGCCCCTCCTGAAATCCCTCTGCTCATTCCAAGCTCATTGGGGAACATAGGAAGCTGCCTGATAATTTGGGTCTTTGGTCCAGCTAGCTTAGCATTATCTACATCGGCCAGTAGCAGCTCCGCAGGGTTTTAGACAGGATGTATCTCCTAATCCTACCTGAATATGTCAGGGATTGAACCTGGGACCCTTCTGAATGCAAAAACAAATGCTCTACCCGTGAGCCATGCTTCCATTCAGATATATCCATGACCTGAATACATACCCACTTCAATTTATCTACTCTTATATTCCTTTGCATCCCTGTTTGTGTCTTTCGCTTCTCCATAATCTGTACCATTTTGGAGGTCTCCTTCCTTAAGCAACTCTTCTTCCATGCTATCCTTTAGTGTTTGGATCGGCCTACATGGTGGCTCTCTTCCCTTTCCTTAACTCCCTGCTTCCATTTCTCACTCCTTCCTCTGATGTATTCCCTCTAAGATAACAGTGTAGACCTTTTTTAGGTAGGGGGCTGGCTTCTTGTTTTTTGGAAAATACAATGCACATTGATGGCACAGTATAAATAATACATAAAAATGGCAAACTACTATGCGAAGGATTGCGCTAACTCTCAGCTCCTTTTCTCTTCCATTAGGTGTGAGTCTTTTCCTGACTTACAGTGTTCTTTGCATGATTAAAATGCAAGTTGGGGACCTATTTCGCTTTATTTTATTTTTATCCCTATTTCCATTTATATCACTAATGCTATCTGAATTTTGCTATTCATGTTATTGATTTGTTAATCATAAAATATGACTTTTGCTTTAATTGTGATATTTTCTTTTTAGCTGTTGTTTTGTTGGCTGTGTTTTGTAATTGTTTCTCTGATGATTTGTTAATTATTCTATATGATTTGTGCTCTATTTGTTATGTTCTATCATGTTTTTATTTATTGTTAGTAATTGGCTTTGGGATTCATTTCAATGAAAAATAGCATATAAATAAAATCAATCAATCAATCCATTGATTGTCTTCTCCAAGAAAAACAGTATTGGAGTTGTGGTTTAAAGCTCACTGAAGTTTTCATTTCAAGTTTCTGCAGTTATGGGAGTGGGGTGGGTGGGTGGGGTTAGGGGATGCAATGATGATGAAGAAGAAGAGTTTGGATTTGATATCCCGCCTTTCACCCCCCTTCAGGAGTCTCAAAGTGGCTAACATTCTCCTTTCCCTTCCTCCCCCACAACAAACACTCTGTGAGGTGAGTGGGGCTGAGAGACTTCAAAGAAGTGTGACTGGCCCAAGGTCACCCAGCAGCTGCATGTGGAGCAGCGGAGACGCGAACCCGGTTCCCCAGATTACAAGACTACCGCTCTTAACCACTATACCACACTGGCTCACAAGTGATAAGAATTACCAGGAAACCATCATTAGGATATGTTAAATGCATCTATCGTCTGCCTACTGTTCATTTTTGTTCTCCAGAAGAGAACCATAGGCAGGGTTCTGCAGATCTGGTTGCCAGTGATAACCACCTTTTCACCACTGGCCAGTGTCCCTGCTCCTAGTCTGAGCAGAAATATATCTGCCTTCCTGCAGCCCAGATTGTCTTCAGATTTGCGGGGTGGGGGACTTGGTGGCTGTAGTGATGTCTTTGTGCGAGGCAACAGAGACTAATCCCTCCCTTTCACCCCTTCCCTTTGTCGTGTGCAGATAATTAGAATGAAAGCTGGACAGCAGTTCTACCTGTTACAAAGCTCATTGCAAAGTGAAGCAATACCACTTTCACTCCCCTGAGTCCTCTGGTGCACACAGACTTTTCAGAAGAGGGATAATTTATTTTATTTACAAAAAAATATCAAGGCAGTACAGTGGTACCTTGGGTTACATACACTTCAGTTTACATACGCTTCAGGTTACAGACTCTGCTAACCGAGAAATAGTACCTTGGCTTAAGAACTTTGCTTCAGGAGGAGAACAGAAATCGTGCTCTGGCGGCGCGGCGGCAGCGGGAGGCCCCATTAGCTAAAGTGGTGCTTCAGGTTAAGAACAGTTTCAGGTTAAGAACGGACCTCCGGAACGAATTAAGTATTTAACCCGAGGTACCACTGTATACAACAATATACAGATGCAATAAAACATAGTGATATGAAGAAGGATAGAACCCATACAAGCTTCTTTCTATTGGTGGCTGGTGCCCTTTGGAACTGGTAGGGCAGGTAGCAGAGGACCAACATTAGGTGGGGCAAGAGTCAATGTTAGGCAGATAGTGGCCAGGTCATGTGGGAGATCAATAATGATGAACTGTGTAGGGAGAGAGATTTTCCTCTCCTGGTAGGATTTTGAGTGAAACGGGTATGTTGCCCCTTTATCAAATCACTGAAGTCTTCAGTTGTGAAAGAGTGGAGAGCTCAGTTACACTTCTTTGCTATCTTTGACCATGGCCATTTTGGGGCTCTGCTTTGATACACACAAGGTCACTGTCAATGAGATCTCCTAATGTTCTGCCTAGCAAGCGGTTTATTTTTTTAGTCAGTGCATTCAATGACTTCATTGTTTTAACACTGAGGCAAAGCTTTTGGTGCTTGGTGAGTCAGAATAGGTTACTGCCAGGAATGGCGAGAAGTAGATAGCTTGGGACCATATTCAGATTGTCCAAAGTGAGCTGGAAGATAACTAGCTCTGATGTATTTGAAGTAGCTAGGTGGTTTACATTTTGTGGCAGCTGTGTTGACAAGTACATGGATATTAAACTAGTGCTTCTCACACATAAAGTGTGAAAGACATATGCAACCTTAAACACCCATATACTTATGTCAAGGAGTTGTGACTGCATCAGGTCTTTCAGACACATGTTTATACACAGATACAGTGGTGCCCCGCAAGACGAATGTCTCGCAAGATGAAAAACCCGCTAGAAGAAAGGGTTTTCCGTTTTTCGATGCGCTTCGCAAGACGAATTTCTCTATGGGCTTGCTTAGCAAGACGAAAACGTCTTGCGAGTCTTGTGATTTTTTTCGCTTCCCCCCCCCTTTTTCTAAGCCGCTAAGCCGCTAATAGCCTTTTAGCCGCTAAGCCGCTAAGCCTTTAATAGCCGCTAAACCGCTAATAGCGCTAATCCGCTAAGCTGCTAATAGGGTTGCTTCACAAGATGAAAAAACCGCTAGACGAAGAGACTTGCGGAACGGATTATTTTCGTCTTGCGAGGCACCACTGTAATAGGCACCTCCTATTCACACTTCCATGCACCGTAATTGCTGTAGGAAATGGTGAACCCACAGTCATAGCAGTTGCTATATAACTGTGGGAGCACTTCTGTACAGATCATTCTGTAACAGTTGTCAGCTGATGTGACAGCTGAATTGTGAAAGGATTCTTAACCCTTGATATAGGGCTTAGAAACACCCATCAGGTTTTAGTTCTTGTGCTCATACGGAAAAGTTTTTTGGAAGGAGTTGGACAATTCATTGCCCTTATACAACATATATAGAAGTGTAACTTTGTAGAATTTTTCTGACTCATGACCCATATAGAAAACCTATATTCTGAAGTAGAAGGCCATATGCCCACATGAGCAAAGGCATGGGTATAAAAAGAGGGCAGGTTGTATCCAACGTTAGTCCTACTAACAGTAGACCTATTAAAAATAATGAACATTACTTAGAGCAATTAATAGCAGTGGGCGTACTCTGATCTAAGCCACAGAGCCTAGGGCTTGCCGATCAGAAGGTTGGCAGTTCGAATCCCCACAACGGGGTGAGTTCCCATTGCTCAGTCCCTGCTCCTGCCAACCTAGCAGTTTGAAAGCACGTCAAAGTGCAAGTAAATAAATAGGTACCACTCCGGTGGGAAGGTAAATGGCATTTTCGTGCACTGTTCTGGTTTTGCCAGAGGCAGCTTAGTCATGCTGGCCACATGACGCAGAAAAACTGTATGCGGACAAATGCCGGCTCCCTCGGCCAGTAAAGTGAGATGAGCGCCACAACCCCAGAGTCGTTCACAACTGGACCCCAGTCAGGGGTCCCTTTACCTTTACCTTTACCATCATAAGAAATGGGAGAACAAGAGGTGTGGCACACATGACTTGCAAGATGTACAGAAACATAAACTTATGACTGAAACCACACAAGGAGGATGAAGAATAAAAGGGTCTATATCATATTAAGAAAAATGGTCAGCCAGTTAGATGTTCCTCATCCCAACTTGTTTAAGAGAAAAATAAAATTTTTCTTTTTATATATATTCAGTGAAATCCTATAAAACTGAGATAAAATAGATTATATTTGTTTTTCCTTTCATAAAACAGATGTACCAGGTAAGTTTTTCATGTAATGCAGTTTTCAATATGTCACTCCACCAAAATGAGGTGAATTTCAGTCATTGTTTTCCATCTTTAGGCAATCAATAGATGTGCAGCAATAAGAAGGCAATTCAACATATCTTGATTTTATATTTTTACCCTCTCCTTCAAAAAAGTTAATAATAATTTATGTTGTAAGCTGCCCAGCGTGGCTGGGGAAACCCAGCCAGATGGGTCCGGTATACTACTACTACTGCTAATAATAATAATAATTCCTGTTCACCTCAGGCACTAAGTCTCTTCAATTATTATCATTGGCATAGGGTATAAAATCCACTGCACAAAAATCCAATGGCTGTGTCTTGCTCTGAATACAGAGTTTTATAGAAACAATAATCATTTAACATACAGGAAAACTAAATCTTTATAACCGTTTTTTAGCTGCAAATGTATTTATAATATCACCGTGACAGAGTTTAGAAGCTAACATATGTTCTGTACTGATGATGCTTAAGTTGGTTAGTCACTGCTGACTTACTGAGCTTCGGAGATGTGTTCTTATCAGTTTTAGTTTGCTAAAACTCCTTTCATTTGAGGCAACTGATACTGGCATTGTAAGAAAGATTCTCAAAACTGTTGGCACTTGGGTCTCCTCAGCACAAAGATATAAATATATAGCATCACCATCACAATGGAAACTGTGAGAATGATCAGGCACATACCAGAGAGTAAGATGTATTGAATTCAGTTGGACTTACTTCTGGGTAAAAATGCTTACAATTGCAGTATAAGACTACACAGTTACCTGGGAGTTAGCTTTATTGAATTCAGTGGGGCTTAGGTAAAGTAGGTAAAGGACCCCTGGATGGTTAAGTCCAGTCAAATTCAACGGGGGGTGTGGCACTCATCTCTGCTTTCAGGCCAAGGGAGCTGGCATTGGTCCACAGATGGGTCATG